CCGGCCGCGCAGTCCCCGCCGGACCCAGGCCTTCCTCCCCTCCCCCTCCCCCAGCACCTCACTTTAAAGACCCTCGGGCCGCAGGACTCCCCCGCCCCCAGCTCTCCAGGGGCCCGGGGCCAGTTCCTCCCCGGCCTTGGGGGCCCATCGAGCTGCCAGAATAAACAGACCCCGTGTACGATTGGGGGCAGGGGTGGCGAGAGGGAGGGCAACTCCAAGAACTAAAAGACGGATCTTTAGTAGGTTTACAGGAAAAGAGTCGTTCCCAAAAGTCAAAAAAGAGTCGAGAGGACAGAATTCTCCCACAAGCCTCCACCTCTCTGGGCCCTTCCGGACCACACTCTGCCCATCCTCCTCCTAGCTCCGCCTCTGCCAGCTACTTTGGAGGGTGTAGGTGGGAATTAGCAAGCTTTCCTGAAAGCTAGAGAGCTGAGGAAGTCCTTCCATGTGTCTAACCTTGGTTCTCTCTGTCGCTACTTAAACCGGAACCAGAAGACTAGAAAATAGCCTGCCCCAATCAGAGAACAGTTAAGGCACAACCAACTGTCTCCATTAGAAGGAAGATGGGGCCAGGCGCGGTGGTCAGCCTGTAATCCCAGAGACTTGGGAGGCTGAGGCTGGAGGATCAAAAATTCAAGGTCAGCCTCAACAATATCGTGAGACCCTCAGCAACTTAGCAAGACCCTCTTAAAGTCAAAAGGAATGGAATGTAACTCAGTGGTAAAGTGCCCCTGGATTAAATCCCCCTTACCAAAAAGATTGCCCCAACCTGTGCCAATCTCCACCTTCGGTGAGTTTCCTGCTATTTTCCTCCTCCAGTCTAACTGTAATCACTCATATTGCAGTTCATTTCCTCCTCTCGGGGTGTCCCACTTCTATGTAGAAATCAGAGCACAAACAAAGAGCGCTAGGACAGAGCCTACTATGTTTGCAAGGTCCTGCCTGATTCTGCTTGCAATTGGTGTGGGAGGAGGAGGGAGGGAGTGGAGGCCCAGCCCAGGTCCAGCAGCTCCCGGCTGGACTCCTCAGTAGGACCAGGCTGGAGGTTTCAAGCCCAACTCAGCACTCCTGAAGGTGCCAATTTTAGCCTCTGCCTCTATTTCGGGCTTCACTGCCTCACCGCTGGCTGAGCTGGTTGGGCTCTTCACCCCCAGCACCACCCCCACCCTGCTCCTCTGGTTCTCCCCCTGCCTAGCAACTCCTTCTTCACCTTCTTCACCCATTCTCCTGTTCAGGATCCTTATATAGCAAAGAGCAGAAAAAAGGAGAGGGCCGAGCCTGGGGGCACAAGCCTGTGCTCCTAGCTACTTGGGAGGCTGAGGCAGGAGGACAGGAAGTTAAAGGCCATCCAAGGAACTTAGCAAGACCCTGTGGTCACAAAACTTTAAAAAACAGCTCAGTGCCTGGATTACATTCTCCGAATGGGGGCAAAAGGGAGGCCAAAGAGGAAATAAACCATACGGGCCCAGGCTGGGTGACAAGTGGAAGAAGAAAGTGCTTCCCCAGGGCCCAGGCTGTTTTCTCCAGGGTTGCACCTGCTGGAGACCTATGGGAAGGCTGCAAGAACACTCCCAAACCATAGGCCTGAGTTCCTGGCCCCAGAACTCCAGGCTTACCTCCCCTCGGTCAGCCAAGACTCTGGAATGTACTAAATTTAAAAACAGGGAGCCAAAGGCCAGAATCCCAGCTTCATGGCTCCACCCACTGGGGGCTCAGAGACCAAGACTGGACTGGGACTCGGCTTTTCTCCCAGGCTGAAGGTTCTGCAAGCAGAGGATAGAACCTTAAAGGGCCAAACTCTACCTGGGTACCCAAGAAGCCTAAGATTTGAACCCCAGGCTCTTTTTTTTTTGTCTCTTTTGGTAGTGGGAAATTGATCCTAGGGGTGCTTCACCACTGAGCTACATGCGAGGCAAGCGCTCTACCATGAGCTATAACCCCAGCCCCCCAGTCCTTTTTATGTTTTCTTTTGAGACAGGATCTCACTAAGTGGCCAAGAGTCTTATGATTCAAGAGGCTGACCTTGAACTTGTGATCCTCCTGCCTCAGCCTCCTGAGTCACTGGAATAACCTGGGTGAGACACCATGCCCAGCTGTACCCCAGGCTCTTTAGGGACCTCTCAGTCCATAAACACAATGTAGAAAGTCTAGGGGCTGGGGACATAGCTCACTTGGTAGAGGGCTTGCTTCGCAAGCACAAGGTCCTGGGTTCAATCCCCAACAACACACACACACACACACACACACACACAC